GGAGGAGAAAAAAATGGTCAGCAACATAATAAATGGCAAATAGCAGGGTCAGAATGATTGTATGGGAGGTCTGCTCCCAGTCTTAACTTGCATTTATGGTTCTGACATCCCATGGATAGAAGCTGTTCTTTAGTCTATTGGTTTCACACCTGATGGAACTGAACCTTTTTCCAGAGGGCAGGATGTTGAATAGATGGTGGCTTGGATGAGATGTCTTTATATTGCCCTGCTCTAGAGAGACATCTTGAGCTGGCAATTAAGTCCAGGGTGGGAGTGGACAGCCGATCACCTTCTCTGCAGTTCTGATGACCCTCTGTAGTCTCTTCTTGTCAGCTGTTGTGCAACCAGCGTTACCACACAGGGATGGCGTGCACCAGCACACTCTCGATAGTGGCACGGTAGAAGGACACTAGTAGGTCAGTCTGCAGCCTGTTCATCTAGAACCCTCAAGAAATGGAGGCTCTGCTGGGATTTCATCACCAAGGCTGATGTGTTTGTACTTCAGGATAGGTCCTCAGAAATGTGGGTACAGGAGGAACTTAAAGGAGGACACCCGCTCCACAAAGTTGCCTTATATAGAGGGGGGAGAGGGATCAGTTTTTGTCTTGTGCAAGTCTAAGACCACTTCCTTGGTTTTCCTGGTGTTGAGGGTCAGGTTATTGTGGTCACACCATTCTGTCAGACATTGGATATCATCTATGTAAGCGGTGTCATCATCGTTGGTGATGAGTGCTGTCTGCAAATCTGATGATGCGTGGGGGTGCAGTCGCTGGTGTAGATGCAGCATAAGAGAGAACTCGGCACACATGCCTGCGGTGAGCCAGTGCTGAGTGACAGGGAGGATGATCTCCGGTTGCCAACCTTGACAGATTATGATCGGTCTGTAAGAAAGTTTTTGATCCATCCACATGTAGCGGGGTAAGAAGTCCAGGTTTACCAGCTTGGCTATAAGGATGTCTGGGATGATGGTTTTAAAAGCCAAGCTGAAATCAATGAAGAGCATCCTTACTGAAGTCCCAGGATTCTCCAGGTGATGCAGAGCAGAGTGGAGGGCAGTGGAAATTGCATCCTGCCTTATAGGCAAACTGGTGGGGGTCAAAGCTGGGTGGGTATCTCTCGAGGTGTAACGATGCACTGAGAACTTCCACTGTCCAACAGTTCCCACAGATTAGCAAAAAACTGAAAAGTTTTAAAGAAATGTGTTCAGAGTTCAAGCTGGGATTTCAGCAAATGTTAGCAAAGAGACTACCATCAATCAGAGGAGGAGGAGAAGAGGAGGCTGAACTCGCTGAGATCCTGAAGAAGAGACATTCTTCACCTTTCAACAGCAAAAACCTGACTGAGTGGATGGACTGTAAAGAGAGAGAAATCAGTATCTTAAAGTCTTTCACCAACATGATGAAAAACACCAAGACTGTCCCATCTCAGAATAATCTACATGAGGAACTTCTCAGTGCAGAGCATGGCCTGTGTTTTGTTTTCACCTCACTGGGGAAGGATGAACCGTACCTCTCAGCTTTATCAGACTACCTGAAAGAAACAACCAAAACAGACGTTCACGTTTATCATACTTACAATGTAGAGAAGGAACAATGGTACCTTTCAAAAGAAGTAGCAGATGAAATGAGGAAGAAAGCAAAACTCTTCAGTGATTTTGCAGAGGCCAACAAGGAAAACAAGAAGATTAAGTTCCTGACAGTGGGGTTAACTAATGAAACTCAGGAAGGTTCCAGCATCTACCTTTATGAAGGTGGATTTGCTGTCAGTGAGAACTTTGAGCCTCCTTCAAAGCCTGAAACTGTGACTGTAGCTGACATAAACCACAACAGTGTGACACTGAAGATTTCTCCACCCAGATTTGGAGCAGAGAACATCACCTCCTACTCTGTTGAGCACTGTGTCAGTGGAGAGGATGGATGGCAGCAGAAGACAGAAGCAAAGGCTGAAGAAGTCACAGTGAGAGATCTGAAGCCAAACACAGAGTATGTGTTCAGATGCAGAGCAGTGACCTCAGCAGGTGTCGGACCAGCTAATGTAATCAGTGATGCCATTAAAACTTTACCCTGCAGCCCTCCTGGAAAACCTCAAGCTCAGCCATATTCAAGTGAGATATCAGTTAGCTGGGAGAAGCCTGCTGAGCTTGGAGAGGATGTCCAGATATTGAGTTACATAGTGGAATATGCAAAAACAGATAGCAGCTCAACAATAAATGACCTCGAGTGGACTCAAACAATTTCAGGAGGTGAGAAGGCCATCATTTCAGGGCTTCAGTCAGAGACACAATATGCAGTCAGGGTCAGATGTGACTGTGGTGTAGATGGAAGAAGCAAGGAAAGCATCATTGTTAATGTCTGCACAACAAAGTGTGAATTTGCACGTCTGGCTGAGTACCTAAAACATATCAGCAAGAAAACAAACTCAAAGCTGCCCTCAGTTTACAAACTGCCCCTGGAAGAAGAAGATATGGACATAGATGGATTTCGGAGGTATATCTTTGGCAAAGAAAGCATGAGGCAGAATCGCACAATAATGCTTCTTGGAGCAACAGGATCAGGAAAGTCTACTCTCATCAATGGAATGATCAACTACATTGTTGGTGTAGAGTGGAACGACGGTTTCAGATTTAAGTTAGTTGATGAGGATCCAACCAGTTCACAAGCTCACAGTCAGACATCTGAAGTCACTGTGTATGAAATCCACCACCAGGAAGGCTTTAAAATCCCGTTCTCCATGACCATTGTGGACACTCCAGGTTTTGGAGATACAAGAGGAGTAGCAAGAGACAAGGAGATCACAGAGCAAATCCGCAGGCTTTTCACCTCTCCTAATGGAGTCAGTGAGATTGATGCAGTGTGTTTTGTTACTCAGGCCTCTCTTGCACGACTAACAGCAACACAGAGATATGTGTTTGACTCGGTGCTCTCCATTTTTGGCAAAGATGTGGCAGAGAACATTGAAATGCTGGTGACTTTTGCTGATGGCAAAGAACCACCAGTTCTTGAGGCAATAACCGTTTCTGCAGTCCCGTGTCCAAAAAATGAGTTAGGCCTTCCGGTTCACTTCAAGTTCAATAACTCAGCATTATTTGCAGACAACAGACGCAACAGAGACTGTGAAGAGGATTTTGATGAAGATGATGCCAGCTTTGATGAAATGTTTTGGAAGATGGGAGCCAAGAGTATGGAGAAGTTCTTCACTGCTTTGGGTAAAATGGAAACCAAAAGCTTGCTGATGACCAAAGAAGTCTTAAAGGAGCGCAAACAGCTTGAAACAGCCATCGAAGGTTTGCAGCCACAAGTTAGAACTGGATTAGCAAAGCTTGAAGAAATTAAGACAACCAAAGAAAAGATCAAAGAATATGAAGCAGTCATAACTTCAAATGAAAACTTTGAGATTGAGGTGGATGTTATTAAACCAGTCCAAAAACCAATCACAGAGAAAGGAGCATTCATCACCAACTGCCAGAAATGTTCAATAACATGTCACTACCCATGTGCAATAGCACAAGATAGTGAGAAACGTGGCTGTGCATCAATGGATATGAACGGGATGTGCACTGTCTGTCCTGGAAAATGCATTTGGAGTGTGCATTTCAATCAGAAATACAGCTGGGAGTATGTTCAAGTGAAAGAGAAGCAGACAGTGCAAGAGCTGAAACGCAAGTATGAAACAGCTAATAAAGAAAAGATGACTGTTCAGGAACTGATTGAGAGGCAGGAAGAGGAGATTGTTCACCTTCAGGACACGGTGGTGTCCCTCATAGATCAGTCAGCTCAGTGTATAACTCGACTGCAAGAGATCAGCCTGAGGCCAAACCCTCTGACCACCCCAGAGTACATTGACATGATGATTGAGGGAGAAAGATCAGAGGCCAAAGAGGGTTACCAGGCTCGAATCAAATCTTTGGAGGCAATGAAGGAGAGGGCAAATCTTATCTCCAAGGTAACGCGACGAGACAAACTTTCAAAAACGGAGGAGGAATTATCCGAGGAAAGAAAGGAGAAGACGGAAAAGAAAGGCTTCTTTAAGAAATTTCTAAATCACATTGGATTGTCAGGTTAATCTTACGAAGGTCTACAGATATGTTGGAGGTGTTATGAGGATTAAACAATTTAAAGCAGCTTTATAAAACCTGCTAAGCATGTAAAATAAAAAGAGGCCAAGCTAGAGTTCATGCTAAAACTATAGTTTACAATGCTGAATAAACTTTCTCTTCAAGTTGTTATCTGTTTCATTGTAATCTCCCAACAATCATTAAATTAAACCAGAATCTATTAGCAGATTGTTTCTTGTCTATGTGGAAAATTTTCTTTTTAACATGTTTAATGATCTCTGACAGCTGGACCACTGCTGCCAGATGTTTTTTATTTTTATTATTAAAAAAAAAAACAGTAGAATAACTTTTTGTCTTAATTACAGGTCATTCCTGTTTTGGTAGCTTGATGTATTTAAGATCACCATGGTAACAGATGTCGAAATAACTGCTGTTAATAGTCCATCATTTAACAGTTGTAGTTTAATGCAGTGTCTGTAACTCTCAGCCTGTTGACACTACAGCTTGTTTTTTCTTGTGATTCATTCCTTTTGTTTTTTGTTCCAATGTGATTTGGAAAAACGTGTCTAAAAATGCTCGTTAAATAATCACATTTACATTTGAATGTTAGGATGTCTGAGGTGTGACATTAAATGATTATCCTGGATTCTTTCTGTTTCAAGCTCTTTATTAATTTCTCTGTTTTAGCTTCACTTGGACTGAATTAATGAACTGTAGGTGATGTGACTGTCATTGAATATGAAGTACTTTTCTTTGCATATTTATCATTATTTTTATTATTATTAGATCTAATGTAGACCATGACATACTTTAACAATGATTATCAGTACATAACTGGAACAAAACATCCACACAAAGTCTTTGTTTTGAAACTGCGCGAGCATTGACAGAGCTGATTATGACGTAGCTGCCATAGAAAATGACTGATTATTAAACCAGCTGCTCTTGCAGCTCTACGGGAGCTTCAGTCCTCCAATAGTGATGTAAACCAATGCTGGAATAAGGAAGTGATGCTACCTGAGTCTCTGTAACAAGTTTAAAGAAACCAAACACACCTGCATAGATTGTGTAGAAAAATAAATAAAATGTTGTCATTAAATTCTGTTCAGGTGAAGTTTATTACACATCAGTTTCACACAGACTGGAAACTAGCTGGGCCATTTTCTGATAATTGAGGTGCATCTGAAAGTGTGTCTGCTGGTTTTAGTTAAAACTGGTTAAATTCCAGGTTTTTTTCATCGTTTTTAAGGCATAAATTCTTTATGTGAAGGTGCTAATAGTTTTAGATGTTTACTGTTTTAACTGTGTTAATATTGTTATACAATATATTGTTATAATACAGACCATCTGTAATCTTCACCCACACAGAGAAAGTGCATGTCTTCAAAATGACTGGGGATGAGAATCTGTTCCAGTAGTTAATTTCCTTGGAATGTGGAATCATTTATTGCCTACTGATTCCTCTTATTGGTTCCACCTGCTACAACCAGCTGATTTCAGTTCATGTGCAGAGACACAACAGTAATGTGCAGAAGGAATATGGACCTTACTTACTTTTTATTGCACATCCTGCTAACACAACTTCGGCTATTTGTAAGGACCTGCGCAGACAGCATGCTAACATAAAGCTAGCCAAGTGTTCTGTGTTCTGTATTCCCAGAGGAAATAAACTAGACTGAATGTCATGTCTTTGAATTAATTTCTGCTTAGCAATGGTAGTGACTCTCAAAGCAGCGCCGATAAGAAGCCAATGAAAATCGATAAGAGAATCAATGAGAAATTAAATTTATGTGTTATTCATAATCAAATCAGCCACTAAATTCTTATCAGTTCCCATCTTTACTAGGGACCAAAATGTTTCATGTTATTTTATAGTTATTAGTGCTGTCAGCGTTAATCTCGTTAAAATGACGTTAACGGCATAACCACATTGATGCGCATCAACGCCGTCCAGCCCCACGCGCAGGGCGATCCACGCTAACTCGCTGACGGAGATTTGGCGCGTTAAAACAGTTACGGCGTTAACTTCATTTTAACAAGATTAACGCTGACAGCGCTAATAGTTGTAAATGTTATAACTAAAAAAAACAGTTATTTGTTCCATATCAGTTCAAAAACGAACGTGATTTTTATAACGTTCAAATGTGACCTCAATCGAAAGATTAACAACTAAAATCAATCCAAAGCAGACGCACAGAGCAGCAGGTGGTGTGAAGTGTGAAGTTTATTGGTGTTCAGGAATGTCAGAGCACAGCGAGTCGACATCAAAGCTGCCTGAAGGGCTCTGCGGTCGGCGACAGGGGAGGACAAAATAACAGGTTGAAACAGCTCTGCAGAACCATAAATATACATCTGTTTAATCACCAGTAACTGAGGATAGAGTGCAGACAAGCTCCAGGAGGTTTTGAGGTGTGAGCTGGTTGTTTCTCAGTGATTTTACTTTGTGTTACCACAAACAGAAAAAAAACTTTGTTTAAATAAAATACAGAAAACAAGTAAAAATGATGATTTCACAGGCCAAACATGGAAGAGCATGAAATCTGAACGAAACCGTCACCGCAGAGCTGTTTGTCCTTTCTGTGTGATTTTATCCACCTTTCATGAACAGAAGCATTAAACACACAAACTTTTCGGTTTCCGTACTTTTCCCCACAAATTAAAAACCACTTCTTTTTTATTTTTAAACACGTGTTGTATGATCCTCGATCTTCACAATCAACATCACAGGAAGTCAAATGAACTGCATACTTTTGAAGTACTACACACATAATGGTCCACATGTAACGAGCACAGTGAGAGTCTGAACTTTTTCTTTGAGGTGATTTTTCTTCTTTTAAGAGGAAAACGTGATTTGACCTAAACCTCAGAGCAGCGTCTGAAAAACGAACCGCGAACCTTTAAAACAAGATGCTTCGAAACGAGTCCACGTTCAGCCGGAATATTTGTTTTACGTTGAGCTGCCACATTAACTCTTAACAATCAAGTAAATGTAAAAAGCAGAACTTTAAATTAAAAACGCAGACTGCTCAGTTTCCCCTTTTTGATTGTAATCATCTCCTTTCAGTTTTTCATGAATCGACTGTTTCGATGACAGGAACAAACTCAGTGTAACGGTTACTTGTTGGCAAATATTTAAATTTAAAGATTAATTAAACCCACAGGATTTAAAATTAACTGACAGATTTCAAACTGCGGCTTCAGACACTGGCTGATGACCTGAGTGAGAGGAAGACACTGAAGCAACGTGAACGTCACTCTCACTTTCAGCCTGTGACGAAGAAATCTGTCCAGAGCGTCGCAGAGAAACGGAAAAACAGTTAGAGGATAACACTGTAACACTGATCGGGCTCACTCAGCTGCAGAAGAAGAAAAACAGACACAAAAGCAGCAAAAGCAGAATAAAACAGGTTCCTCAGAAGAGCTCCGGGCGGCTGAACGCAACAGTTTCTCCTTCATGAATTCTTCATAAATATGAAACGATAACTGGTGACAGGCGATCCTGGAAGGACTCCAGGTGTTTCCCACGTGTGGTGGTCGTGCACGTTTGTTGACAAAGACAAAAACAGCTACAAGTTTAACACAAAGAAAAAACTTAAAAAAATATTTCTGAACCCTTTTTAAACAACTGACCTCCAGCCGGCCGAGGTCGGCGCCTCAGCGGCTCTGGCAGACGACTCAGTTCAGCTGCTGCTTTCCTGCTTCACAAGTAAAAACTAACTCAAGGCGTCTATCAACAACAATTAAAAAAAACACTACAACTCTGATGGCGGTACTGGAATGCCCGTGAAGCTCAGGACTGCCTCTCAGTATCCCAGGTCCAGCTGGATTTTGTGCTCAAAAATGGCGATTAGCAGCATTATGCAGAAGCCCAGCAGGATGCCGGCGTTCTGGAGGAGGAAGAAGCCCCAGTGGCTGAAGCCGTGGTCGCCGGCGTCATTGTGCAGCATCTCGGGGACCTGAAAGAAGAAAACTGTCTCAGGCTCACAGACCCTCTGCAGAAAACAGGAACTTTTCCCATGAAGGAGGAGGAGACGTTAGTTTAAATGAACGGACAATGCACCGCACATCTGCTGCAGTACCCGGTTACACCACTAGGCGGTAAAAAAATTGAATAAGCTTTTCTAGAGTGTAGAGCAGGGCGACAGCCACGAGAGGGCGCCTTTGTTCAGGAGAAAGAAGCTCTGCTGTGTTTTCCAGCACTAAACCCTCCTGCAGCTGTTTTTCAGACGTACAGACATTTATATGACGGGATTTTTACGATTTATGAGATGCCAATAAAATGATGGCAGTATCTTCATCTCAGGCTGAACTCTGCATTTAGTGTCAAGCAAAAGGAACATTTTTTATGTGGAATATTCATTTAAATTTCACAGCATTAAAAGTGAACCTCTCGCTCTGTGGATCAGGATGTGAGAGTGGATGCTCCCTTTTGATTGGCTGGAGGGTAATGCTCACTTACCATGTCCACCAGGGCCACGTACATGAAGAGCCCGGCTGTGAGGGCGAATATCCACGTGGAGATGTTCTCGGCGTAGTGTCCAATCAAAATCCCGGTGATCATGCCCAGGTAGGCCATCATGGCCGACAGCACGTTGTAAAGAATGGCCTGACGCACCGTCATGCCGGCCTTCAGGAGCACCGCAAAGTCACCTGAGAATCGGAGAAGACTGTTACTCACTACGACTGCTGCACCCGCATGATGGATGTGGATAAAACCTCTAAGCGTGAACTAAATTAAGGATCAGACTGTGTCCAAGGACAGGATAACTAATAAATCAAACTAACATCAGAGAAACACATCAAGAGCAGGACTGTGCACAAAGACAGACGTGCTGCACAGCTCGCTCTGAGCTGGTGTTGGTTGGTTCAGCCTTGCAGCCACTGCACTGTTTCTCTTTGCCTTCATGCATTAAAGATCGTGCAGTTTGTGGTGTATTTTCAGGTGGTTGAGTAAGTGAGCTGCGTTGCGTCTGCAGAAAGGAACGAGCTCTTCAGCTTCTGCTGTTCCACACATTTAAACCTTGTCTGTCTCTTACTGTGATGTTACTGCTTCAAAACGACTGCACAACGCAGGAATCAGCTGCGACCAACATGCAGGCAGTGAATTAAGTGCCTGATTTTTGATTTTGATTTCATAACAAAATAAACACGCTGTGACCTCCCAGTGAAAGGTTTCCATATTTAAATGAACAGATGTTTAAAAGTCTGAAAGAAGGCTTTTTTCACTCTTTCAAAGCCAATATCTCTTTATTCCACTGCAACAATAAAGTGCTTTATGTAGGTAAGACTGAGGCTTACAGAGAAAATGTTCCACTGAGATAAGATGAAAAAGTCTCACCCAGCTCATGAGGCAGCTCGTGGCAGAAAACAGCCACAGACGTGCTGAGACCGCTGGACAGACCCTCAGTGAACGCAGCGCCTGCAAACAGATAAACATTAGAAACCAGCAGCAGCAAGAGGCAAACATCAGCATGAAAATGCACACCTTCATGTCACTGTTTACCGTGGCTGAGGGTGAATCCTCCTGACGTTTAACTTTAATCACCAGTTTGTTCTAACATTACTAACTCTGCCGTCAGTGGTCAAGTATGTTAAATATGCTGTGCACCAACTTTCTAACCTACTCTGTGAAGATGATTTCTGTGCTCAGAACTGACGCTTCATCCCGTGACTCTCTCATGTTTCTACTTTCTCCACTCCCATCAGTTTCAAACTGTCTCGCTTCCAGACTTCAAACTGTTGAGAAGTTTAAACCCACTAATTACGACATCTGTCCCTGCAGAGTCTTCAGAGACTTTTGGACCAACGCCACAATCTTTCATCCGAAGTTCTTAATCTTTGTTGAGATTCTTCAGTCTGGTTTGAAATGACATCACAGCTCTGCATCTTTTGAGTATTGCTGATGTGAGTCATTCATTGTACGACTTGTGAATCGTGAAACGTTGATTTCCTGTCTTTTGGTATCCGTGGTAACACGCCGAGTATGTTCAGCTCATATCTGACTAACAGCTTGTTTTCCATCAGCTTTCTGAAGCAGCTTCTTCGATCTGCGGCGTTCCACAGGGATCCATTTTAGGCCCCGCCCTATTGGGTCCATATTGTATTGCCTATCACTGCAGACCACGCCCACTCACACCTGCCTCAGGTGTAATCAGACACTGACTGGTTCCTTAAGCTGAGGTTCAAGAGTTTCATCCCCATCAGTGACAACAAAACCACATATTTAGTTTTTAACACCCTCACAAATATAACTTCATCTCTCTCCTGCAGACAAACATCCAACTGATGACTTGTTGAATGGTCACTTCCTGTGGTGACATGACAAACTCTCAGCACCATGTTTATTCATGTCAAACCAACCCTGCTGGGCTCTGATTGGTTAGAAACTGGTGTGTTTGCTGTTAAACGAGTTCAAGACAAAAAACTGAAGCTAAAGAGGAAGTGACATCACGGGTTGGGACCCTTCTACTCACCGATAGCGAGGCCGTCGCTGAAGTTGTGCAGTCCATCTCCCATGATGACCATCCAGGCCAGCGTGGCCACTCCGGCCTCCTGGAAGTGCTGCTCCGAGTAGGAGTGGGAGTGGCTGTGCGGGTGGTGGTTCTGAGAGTGGTGGTGGTGCAGGATGTGATGGTAGTCGTGGTGGTGGTGGTGCCTGCTGTCCGTCTGGCCAACCGTGTCATGGAAGTGGGAGTGGCATTTGTTCTCGCAGTCCTCGTCGGTGTAGTTAGCGGCGCTCCCCGACGCTCGCCCGTAAGCCTGCGGCGAAACGACGGACACCTGCGGCGCCAGCATCACCTGCTCCTCCTCCGCCACGTTGCTGCCGTGCAGGCTGCTCGAGTGGTCGCCAAACGTGCTGGCGCCGTTAGTCTCCACATCTGGAGACACAATATGGAGATCTGGTCAGGTTAGGCCGGGAGGTCGACCTCCGCCTGCGCCGTTTCAGAGGTCAGAGCTCTGTTCTCTATGGTGGAGCGACCTGCAGCTCTTAAAGCCTTCACGCCAAACGTGACATCACAGTTGTTAACATGCACCAAGCTGACACAAGCCTCCATACAGAAACATCTCAGCTCGAGTGACGCTCGGCTTCACTTTGAGTTGTTGAACAAAACACGAAATAATTCACCTTCACTCGGCTTCACGCTGTTCTCCTCCAGCGCCGGCTGTTTCTCTGGATCCGCGTTCTCGTTCTGATCACACTTCTTCTGGATCTGCGTGGAGTTCGTACAAACTCATCAACATCAACATGAAAGGACCAGTTTACAGTTTTCTGACAGCAGCACGAAGGTTTGTAGGTCAGAATATTTACAATTACCATGAATGCTTAAACGCCTTCATTTTACCTCCAAGTCAGACACCAACTTCTCAACAAAAAAACCCATGAGATGAGAAATAAATAGTTCCTTTAAGAGTGAACAATCAGAACAGAAAATCAACATGTTACAAAGACTTATTGTTCAACTTTGTAGCTGCTGTGTGCAAAGTGTCCCAATTAACTCTCTCTGCACAGAGAAGGAAAGCTGATGCTAAAGCAGACCGTTCGTGTCCGACTGCATCGTTGCAAAGAGTAAACAGAGGATGCATCGATTTTTCATGACGTTTGAAAAAATACAAAACTGCAAAGTCATGTTGAAACCAAACGCCGGCGGCGATCTGCAGCCACGCAGGGGAGGCGGACTTCAGAAACTCCCTCAGCTGAAAAAAGGCGACGACAGCAAAATATGTTCCTCAGAGCCAAACCTCAAAGTGTTTGAGCTGAGTCGGGGATTTTTGTGAGAAACTGAAATTTTGAGGTGTTTGTGTTCATCCAATTTCATGGCAGAAGGCTGCGCCGCACACTGCATGTAAACTATGTGATCAAAGAGCTTTTTTAATGAAATCTCCCACACGTCTGTGAAGCCGTCTCAAAGAGCTGTGCAAAGCCCCGAAGAAAGATCCTGAACTTTGACATCAGGATGTTTGGACAAACAGGCCGTCGTGAGCCGTCTGTGTGGAGGTCTGCCTGTAAGACTGTGACTGTACGATGCTCTGTTCTGACCTTTGGTTATTAACTGAGGGCTTTAAAGTAACTAAATTCTAAGTAAGAGCGGGCTGCATGATGCGACTCAGGTCTCAGTGTGTTAAACGTCATTCTGACTGTTAGAGAAACTCGCCGTCTCTGACCTTCTGTTTCTTGTCCTTGTACATCTTTCCAAGCGTCAGGAAGTGCTCGATGAGAAACATGAAGTAGACGCCACTCAGAGCCGTCAGGCCCTTCCACACCGCGTCCAGGTTCTCCTCGTGCTCGTGGTGGTGTCCCGTCATCACTGCATCGTCGTGGTGATGGTGTCCCGTCATCGCTGCATCGTCGTGGTGGTGATGGTGGCCTCCCTGAGACTGATCACACAGCGTTAGCTTACCATAAATATGTGACACAGGGGGAGCAGCAAGAACTAAATAATTAGACTGAAAGTATCTCATGTATGTTTACACATCGACTGATGATGATGATGATGAAGCTCTTTATTATCAGAACAAAAGCAAACAGAAAAACTGTCACAAATCTCTGTAAACGGTTACAAAATGTTCTTTATCTGACTGTTCTTAAAAAAGTAATTAAAGTTGTGCTTGTTGTGATCTTTGAATGCATATGATGTCACACACACATGACACACACACACACGTGACATATGATCCTCATTTATAATGTGTGGAGTCTGCGTGTGTCTATGAATGTGTAAACACGTTGCAATGGCCGCTTCCCTTTTGTCCACATCGCTCTTGAACAAGACGTTTACAGTCTCAGTGAGTTTTAGCTGGAAAAATGAAGACTATGATAAAATAAGAGAATAATTAGAGGCTGATCAATCAGCCGGCTGCTGATTAGAATCAGAGACGTGATCTACCTGATAGATCAGGTTTGGTTTTAGAGCTCGACAAAGAGTCAAATTTGATAAAAAAAGGATTCGAACACTCGCTTCACCTCACGGCTGCAGTAGATTTACAAACGTGCAGCTAAGCAGCCTCTGTCTGCTGGCTCGCTCGCCGCTGCGTTCAACAGCTGAAGTCATTGATCACTTTAACTTGAGAGCATGAACGTCACGTGTTGTAAGACTTCCTGTGAGTCAGGTGATCGCGCTCTGCAGGGACTCACGTGAGGGATGAGGTGCAGGAAGGCGTCGCCGCTCAGCGTGCCCACGGCCAGCGCCACCAGGAAGCTGAGGAGGAACTTGAAGAAAACTTTGTTCATGAGCGGGATGAGGACGACGCCGAGCAGAGACAGCAGGCTGATGATGGTGATGGAGAGGAACCCGCCGACCCACGCTGCAACACAAACACAAGCTTCAGGAAGATCAAAACGCTGCTGACAGTAAAGACCGCACCGTCTCTGCTTCCAGAACACGACGCTGTGGTTCTTCAACTTCAGGCACAAACTCAGTGCCGACCCAGAGCGATCCCCGAGTCATGACCTGGTTTCACTCTGCTGCAGCAGCACAGAGGCGGCCCTCGAGCAGTCGCAGTCTGAAGTGTCCTCACTCTATTTGTGTTATCTTTGATCATTTATGCGTTCTTTCCCTGATGAACTCTACAGGTCGTCCACGTCCAGCAGCTCAGTAACTGCAGACCGCTGGACGGACACGTTCACAGGGCCACAAATTCCACTTCAAAGATGCTCTCACCTGACACGAGTCTGCAAACGGAGCTGCTCGATGAATAATCAGTTTTAGTTTGATTCATCTGCAGCGTCTGACACCAGCGCTGTCAGATCATTTTCATCACACTATCGGACATTTCACAATTACATTTACAGACTACATGTCGTCATCCATCCTTCTTACGATTACTACACTGTTGACACACAGCTGTGACTTCCTGAATACATCAGCAGCTGCTCTGACCTCAGTAAACGCTTCACAACTTCCACTAACTGGATGTTTTAATGTTCAAGCTCAGTCTCAGTGTTTGTACAGTGAGCTCGGTCATTACACGGCCTCCTCGCAGCAGCATCAAACCTCCTGCTAAGAACCTCCAGAGTTGTTTTTCACCAGGGTTCAGATTTGACACCCAGTCTTGTTTCTTTTACTGTCAGCTGATAACTTAAAAACATGCCTCAGTCTCCTCAGACCGACTTCGTATCGACATATACAGTTTAGTTTATACATGAGCTTGAATGTGTTTGCATTTTAGAATATGTCCAGTTCTTTATGTTCATATCCAAACTTTATGACTGCATTTTAAAAAGTGTGATACAAATACCATGTTTACATTTCATATTAGCAGAAATATTATTAATAATAATATTTATTTATTATATTTATTATTATTAATACTATTTCTGAGATTAACTTTCCTCCCACACTGAGGAGGATTAGGTGGTGCGGACGGCTCACATTAAACGTACCCGTGGTGATGTTTCTGCTGTTCTCCCCGCCCATGTGCTCACTGTGGTCGTGGTCTGAGTGGTTGTGGTCTCCATGGTGACCGTGAGCATGCTTGTGATGCTTGTGCTCTAAAAACAGGAAGAAGGAAAGATGAAATTCAGAAGTTATTACTTCATTCTTACAAATTCAAAGAGCCGTAAGGCTGAGGTCAGAGGACGGGACACTGTGACAGAGTGTAACTGGTTTAAACTGGTTCACCACATTAAACACCACAGGCTAACACTCAACACAAACACACTGATGATGATGATGATGATGATGATGATGATGATGATGATGATGATGATGATGATGATGATGATGATAAGCAAACAGTTCATCAAAAAATACAAAATGCTCCTGATTCTCAGTCGCTGGCAACATTTCCCAAACACTCAGATCTGTTTTTTCCAGCCATCAAATCAAATATCAGGATCAAAATATCCAGATCACAGCAATCAGACCACAAAGTCAGAGTCTGACAGCAGTAATCAGCTGCAGTCCTGCCTGAGGGGTTTAAACCTGGTGGGAACTTTCCTCAGATGTTCGAAGGCCTGGAGACAGACGGAGCTGCACTGGGAGCAAAACTATGTTAATTTGAATCCAAATGTTTGGTGATAAAACAAAGACCGTCCTGCATTCAGTGTTCCTTCTTTTCTTTCCTTCCTGCCAGCCGTTCACTTCACATTTAGTTATTATTTCCAGTTAACTCATCGCTACCCTTTACCCTTGGAGTCACAATAGAGGCCCACCGCCTGACCACCTGTCCTCCTCCACCTCGTTTTTATTTGGTTTCATTTGAATTATAGTGACGGTTAAAGAAACTGCCTGTAAAGGGTCCCGTGTTGAAGTTCAGTAACAGCACGTTTCTTAAAGAATAACTGTAAAATAATCGAGTTACCAAAATGATTCTGATTGGTGACGTGACTGAGCAGCCTGTTGATTCCAGGACAGAGTCGGCGCTCTCCGGAGTCAAACAGACGCGTTCACCGTCACACTCGGAGCGAGCGAGTCATGCAACAGGAATGTGATTTTACCAGAAGATCCAACAAAGTGCCGCAAACGCTGAGCCAGGTTCACCGTTCAGCCCAACAGCTTCAAACAAAGAGCAGCTAGAGTCTGCTTAAAGAAGACGTCAGTCATTCGATTTTACAGCAGAGGCAAGAAAATCTCGACTCAACAAAAAATAAAATGCTTGTTTTTCTTGTTCTGCTTTCTTATTATTTCTCTGGTATGAAACACCGAAGTGATGATCAGTCAGCGGCTGCACACATTTTCCCGGAGATACTGATGAGGAGTTTTGGTCCCACCTCTCGCCCCGTGTGCCGAGGCGTCTCCGTGCAGCACGCACGCTCCTCCATCGATCTGGTTGAGGAGGGCGGGGCAAAGAAAGCTGAAGTCTCTGAGCGTGACGCCGGCCTCCTGAGACATCCCGTGTGAGGAGAGGATGAAGGAGGCGTTCAGACACTAGAGGGGGAAAAATTAAAACAACAACACTGAGTAAAGACAGATTTAAAGAGACGAAGACCACAGAGGTGCACGCAGGTTGCAAAGCGGCTTGCAGATACAGAAGAAACAGATTAAAGCAGTTTAAAGAAAACACCTGATAAGAGACTTGATTTATCACGTGTACGAGTACAAACATCTCGGCTGACATCAGCTGATTTGCTGACTGAGCCAGAAACCAGTATCGTACCTCTGAACCGTTCTGGCTGCGGCCGTGGGGACGATCCTGATCGCGGTCATGCTCGCTGTCGCCGCTTGCGGTTGCTTGTGTCTGGCTCTCAGTGACGGCGATCCTGGTCGTTTGTTCCCCTGACGGTCGCCCCTGGCTTCCATCTTGTTGTTTCACCACGTGCTGAGCTCTGTATGTCACCGTGGTGCCGACCTCCTGAGCCACCGCCGCCACTGTGGTTTTTTTGTCATAGAGGTTTAGACGACTATCTGGATCCTCGCTTTTCTTTCCCACGGCACCGTCGTGGTTGTCGGGGGTGTCTGGAAACTTCTGGGGCTGTGAAAGTTGTTTTAGGTGATCAGAATTGCTTTCATGGGGATGGTGGTGATGGTGGTGGCCTTTGTGGTGGTGGTGGTGGTGGGGATGGTGTCCGGGTTGCTCGTGATGCTGCACCATAACAGTCCTCATGCGACCCAGCCCCACGCTCTGAAGGAGGCGCTTCAACCCGGCCAGAGAGATGGTGCCGTTTTCTCCATATCTGTCAGATTTAATGGAACAGAACGAGTAAACATGGCGCATATATGTGAGAGTGAGGCCTGCAGCCGCCTGTGCAGCTGACACACAGACTGACGATCGATGACTTCAGCTGCTGACTAACTAACCAGCTGCTGGACCAGCTCCACCTGTCTCACTGCCAGGAGCTCACCTGTTGAACAGAGCCTCCAGGTGTTCCCTCCGGCTCTGCTCGGCTCTCTGGGCGTCGACGACAGAGGACAGTAAACGAACCGCGCTGTTGGTTTCCATCGTGGACCCGCTGCAGTCTGTGACGGCGCCTAATGAGTCGCCACTCACGGCGAAGAGAAACATCAGAACCAGAACTGCACTCATCTCCTCTTCTTCCTGTGGACAAAAACAGACGGTAGACATGTTGACACGTCAAGAAGAGGCAACACAGAGTGAAACGATTACATTTGTTTTATTCTTGGACTCTATTACAGTCCTTGTCTAATCGGTGGGCATCTTATCCTGGGCCTTCCTGGGTCCTCAATTTATCCTCTTCCACAAACTGTTATTAGCCCCTCCCACCTGAAGCCAAAATTCTTCTGATTGGCTGCCCCTCGTACACCGGAGAGCTGAGCAGTAGATGAAACTGAATCTTTTTAATGATTGATTATTGATGAAACTTCCGAAAAGATGTTTGATTTATTCTATAGACAGAGCAATGAAGCATGGGGCATCATTTGGGGACATTAACTAATTAACAGTGATCATAGACAAAAAATAAACTCCAACACTGAAACTGTAATATTCTGCTACCAGTGTACTGCACTACTGTGTGTATAGATATAAATTTCTGCTCCCTTGTATAGTGTATATTCTCCTCGATTGTTGCACAGTATTGTTGTTCTTAGGCATGCTGCCTCGTCCACTTTGCTGTGAATTTCCCATCTCTGAGACAAATAGAGTCTATCTCATATTATCTGAACAGATTTCCAATGCACTCATTATCTGAAGTAACATTTATCTTCTGAGACTACGTTTGCTTTAGCTAGGTTTAACTAGGTCGCAGTTTTAGAATCCCCCCCTCCACAGATAACTGGTAAAAAACAACCCTTATTACATATTTATATCACCTATTTATATGTAATATCTACTCTTAAAATCTAATATTAAAATAGTAAGCTCCAGAACTCATCACAGGATACTAATGAAGGATCTATAACAGGGGTGGGCAATTCCAGGCCACGAGGGCTGGTGTCCTGCAGGTTTTAGATCTCACCCTGGGTCAACACACCTGAATCACATGATTAGTTCATTACCAGGCCTCTGGAGAACTTCAAGACATGTTGAGCTAATTTAGCCATTTGAATCAGCTGTGTTGGTTCAAGGACACATCTAAAACCTGCAGGTACACCGGCCCTCGAGTTGCCCCACCCCTGATCTATAATCACGAATGCGTGGTAATTTCCCCACAGCCTATAGGTGACGCCATTCTCAAGTATAGCCATATAAACAGAAATCACAGAAATTCCCCAGCTTACTCACTCATGTCTGTCTGTGTTTCTATTTAAAGGATTCAACATTTCACCCTCTAAATAAGAAACCGAAGAAACAGACTGAGACTCTGCTTTTCTAAGGAAGTGAAAACAGTTCACTGAGTCAAAGGGAATTTTAGTGCTCACTACAACATTACTGCTTAAATGTCCTCAACTTCAAGTATTGCAAGAACTTGCAGTCGAGACTCACCCAGTAAGTAACTACAGATGGAACAGATGCGCGCCACAGTTACAGTGAATAAATGACACAATAGAAACACCGGCAGCCCACCGTGACAGATGGAAACTGCACAGCAGATGAGATCACTGTGCAGAAAAAAGGTTTCCTTTAAGCCGATCTAAGCAGCAGCTTATAAAGAATTTTATCACAATAAACTTGAAGTACGCGTCCTTTGACACGAGGAGAAATGTTTAAATTAGACGTTTTCTGAATGGATCTTGGTGTGCCGTTCGTCCAAGTTAGCGGATGCTGGTTTAGATCATTAGGAAGTTAGCTTAAAATAAGAAACCGATCGTATTAGTATTAATGAATACGAGTGTGCGGTGTTCAATTTTAACGATGAGTGACGATATCGCTCACACAGACGCTCACCTCCTCCCCTTTAAACGGTGGTTTAGCCGGCTAGCTACGCTGCTACCCCTGGTTAGTTCTTAAATTTCTCGGAGGATGCTCAAAGACGATATCTGCCAGATGACCCGGGCCAGGCTTGGGCCTTGTGCTGCCGAGGCTCGGCCGCTCAAACAGGGCTAATAAAACATACTAAATACATCCCCGGTGGTACGAGCAGCCACGCGTGGCTGCATTTGATCCGAAACACAAACTCGCACTGGAGGTAAACAGTAACACGTTGGGTTTGTGCGCTCCGCACCAGCCGTGTGCCGTGTGCACAAAGACGACAACCCGGAAATCAGCACCAGCTCCTGCCGCCACCGCGCGGAGCGGACTGGACCGGCCGTGCTGGGGCTCCCGGCGGCCGCAGAGAGGTTTTAAGCGAGCCTTTTCAATGACCGAAACCACTTACAATGAGAGCTTGTGCTGCTTTTATCCTCTGCGGGGATGAATGAACGCTTCACGGTGCCGCTCTGTCCCCTTCGGTCCGGTAACCACGGCTGATGGATGCGTTACCTTCACTGGCTGCCGGAAATCTGAGCATACAAAGGACTGGGCAGAAGGAGGGAAACGAAAGGTGATTAGCATAACGACAAACTGAGCACGCTACCGTCACAAAATAGATCTGACCTCTATGTTTCAATTTAGATTGAATGTTTTACAAAAAGAAAGGCTCTGCACATAATTCAACCAAAAATATAGATAGGATCACTAGTCTGATAAATGGAGCCATCAATACATCGATGAGTTGTATAGTCATTTTTTTAAACAATCAGCTACAAAAAAGAAGTTGAAGAAACAGAAATATACAAAAAAAAGCTACATATAGCTTTACAAAACAATAACTTTAAATATATTATCACAATGGATATTATATACAAGATATAGCACAAATTAACAGGATCCTGCAGGTTTCTGGACTCACGTTTTTGGCCACTGTCCTGGTGTTTTATTTAGAGCCAGATGGTGGAGAGCAAATTTACCAACTAATCTTAATGAGCTGCAGGAGAAAACAGTACAGATGCAACGCACAGACATGCATAAGTTTGCCATAACACCTGTCAGTATAAGCAGCCATGCTCCCTTACTTTAAGCCTTAACCAAGTGTAAAGACTGTGGGGGAACTATCCGTAGCAGCTGCTGTAAACATGAAAGGATTAACTAAACATGTAGACACCCTACAGTGGCCGTTCCAGGAACTGCAGTTTCACCGTTCATTAGTAAACTTTGATGGCACAGGCCAGCTTCGATGACACACTCCAATTTATCAATGAAAATGTAAATTTTCACAGCTGAATCTTTTCTGTGCTTTATTTCCTGACACCTTGCAGGAAAAGACTGACCGATGTAGATAAAAAGGCTCGATTTCAGCAGACTTACGGAGCTCAATCAAAATATGCAGCGTATAAAATATGTTTACAGGCAAAATGCAAATTCTAAGCATGAGCCTTCCTACATAACATGGCAGAGTGATTCATAGTTTACAGGGACTCACTTTGAGCCAAGAAGCAGGAATAGAAAGCTCACAGTGATTTTTGGCACCTCAGTTACTGTAATTATCGTCTTCCTGAAGAACAAAACGGTTAAATCAGAGTTCTGCTGCTCGGATGTCGACTGAGACGAGTTCGCCTGGTTTGACTGAGACGAGTTCGCCTGGTTTGAATTCTTTCACTGTTTGCTGTTTAACGTTCACGCTGAATTATAAATTCTTCATGAGGCCTTCCACAGTTCAGCACCACACTGTCTGAGAGGAGCTCTGGCTTAATGCCTTCATCGTGCATTTCATTTTAACGGACATTTCTTTGTTTTAATCATAATTTTTTTTTATAATTTTATCCCTTTTGACCAGTTCTATTATTCGACTAATATTTCTTAAATAGGTTTCATTAACTGGAGGGCCAGGTTGTGTCTGCTCCTCACAGATCGTCACTTGCCTGCAGCAGCTGATCTGTTGTGCGTTATTACCAGACGTACTAATGCACCTTTGATATTTCTATGATTTAATAATTGATTAAAACATTTCCTCTTTGCCTTTAAACCGCAGTGAATTTGATTTATTGTTGTATTATAACAGTTTAGCTCTTTTAGCTGAGGGTCATAAACCTGCACGTGGCTCTCTTACATTTGTTGAATTTCAGCAGTAATCGTTAGCGCAGATGCTAATGTAGCTGAGATATAATATACTGAGTGTGAACATTCTCAAAACTGTATTGTATATAGTATATTTTTGTTATTATGTAAAGTTAATTTTTGTAAAACTAAGGGTCCACATAGGGGTGGGGGAAAAAATCGATACTGTGTAGCATCGTGATATTTTGTTTGCTAATAATGTATCGATACAGGGACAGCAGAAATCGATATTTTGTTACAAAAAAGGTTTTTGTGCTCAGAGCATGTTGATCCTTTTTCTGAGAAAGAATCCTGACATTCCTTCACTGTCCAAATGTGTTTAACTTGTTTTTTGGCAGCAATAAACATGACAGTTTACTTATTTTAATTTAAGACATGTTTTATTTTAATTAAGTTTAAAACTTTTTTATTTAATGTAAAATTATATTTTGTTTTAATTTACTTTCAAATTCTTCAGTTGCTGAATGGGCTGCATAGTTTTCATATTGCATAGTTCAGAATAGCTATAATTGCACCAGATGTTTGCATTCAGTTAAGTTGGACTAGACTGTAATACAAACAATAAAACTGACTGAAATGAGAGAAAGACTGAGTGCGAGACTTTGATATTAGATAAAATGAATATTGATAAAGTTTACCTTTATGGACAGAATCTGAATATCGCAAAATATTTTTAAAAAATTGCAATAATATCGTATCGTGCGTTAAGTATTGTGATAATATCGTATCGTGGGATGCATAGTGATTCCCACCTCTAGTTCCACATGTCACTGTTGAAGTGGGACATTAATCAGTGTGACACCATTTGTAAACATGCTGTGTTGGGGTTCCCAGGCCGAGCTGCATGGACTCCCCACTGGTAAGGCACACTTTCTGTAGCTCCTCTCGCTGTACTATTATGTGTTTTCTTTACTAAGTATTAGTTCTTATGGCCAAAGTGTTTTTGATTACTTTGAACGAGGAAAATAATAATACGAACTGCCTTTTATCTGTTACACCATCCGTCTATGTGTTCCTTACTTGTGCTAAACAGGGACGAGGAGAGGCCTGCTGTTGCTGCGTGACACTGATTTTGCTGCTGCACTTTGTCTTTTAGAAAATAAATCCAGTTTCCAGCCAGTCTGTGTCTGTCCTCACAACGTAGTCTTCCATTTGAAATCTGCTACACTAACACCAAAATGTTTAGTCCTGAGTCCAGCATCAATGCTGCTGTTTGATCAGCTGTATCATTAACTGCAGCTAGAAATGACCTCTAAATGTCTCTCCTGAGAGTTTGAGGTTTCCGGCTGCTGTCATACTGGTACAGCACTTTAGACAAAGCCTGCTTGCATTTTTTTGTACTCATAATTAAACTGAAAACAGGCGAAATACACTAAAGCTGCCTGTGGCAAAAAAATGTTATTTATACTCAGATTTATGAGATTGCAGTTACCAGTAGTTCATTGTATCAGCTAGTGCTGTCAGCGTTAATCTCGTTGAAATGACGTGAACGCCATAACCGCATTAACGTTAGCGCAGATTGTGGCATGCAGCCCTGTGCGTGGTTAGCTTGTTAGCTAAATGTTTCAGGTCTGTTCTTCATATTTAAAGAATCAAACTTTAAAGTTTTCTCCCTGGGGGTTTTATTATCTTTGTTACATTTGCAGAATAAAATTAATCGATCCCAATAAGTCAGAAAATCCCAGCAGCACTTGAATGCATCATAGGGGAACTGCAGAATTTTTAAGGAGGACAGTAGTGCGCAACATGTGACTCAGCGCTGGTATCACGTGACAGCGCTGTCCTGTCCAGGTCTGTTTGAAGGAGGAAGAGGAGGATGAATGAGGGAAGAGTCAGCATCACTTTGGTTTCTCAGAGGATTAGAGTCACGGTTAGAGGGCGGGAAGGAAGATGATTGGTCATCTGCAGTTGGTAAACATAATAATAAACACCAGTGAGAATGTGAATGAATTATTTCTATCTTCAGTTAAAAATAAAATTCTTCTGATGTGCGATGGCGCTGCAGACTCGACGCAGAAGGAAAACTCTGAGCTCTGTGTCTGTCTGCGATTCTTTTCAGTCACTTTGTGCTTTTTCGTATCATTTTGATGCGCATGTGCAGAACTTTTGAGTTTCTCTGCAGTGATTTTGCACCAGTCTGTTGCCCCTTTGTGTCTTTTTGTTGGTTTCTGTGTTTTGGGGGTTATTTTTAATTTTTATGTGTCTTTCTGTGTCTGTTTGGACTCGGCTTATATCTCTCATTGATTTGCTTCTTTTTGTCTTGTCTGCAGGCCTCTGCTGTCATTTTGCGTCTCTTTTTTTTACATGTTTGTCTCTTTATGTTCATCATGTGTCTATTTTGTGCCTTTTTGTATTTTTTGTGCTCATTTTAGTTAATCACAGTTCTCTTGTTGTGGATCTCCCTGTGGTCAGTTGTTATTGATTCGCCTCGTTTCTTACCATCTTTGTGTCTCTAATTCTTTTGCAGCTCCTTGCCGTTGTTTTTACGTTAACCGCCTCTTTAACCTTCCTGCACAGTTGGTGATTCGGTAATACTCGTGCAGCTTGTGCTGAAACAAACACACCTGTCACTGAACTTTGCTTATCTATTCCTGACTGGAAAAATCCTGCAGCTGTGACCTGTTTTCCTGTGACCACAGAAAAGGTCTTTTAACATCATACATGTGTGTAGAATACTCTTACCACAGCGCTACTGTTCAGGTTTCGCTTCAGTGTGAAATGTTTGCAGTTCAGAGTCTCACGTTGTGCACAAAGATAACAGAAGATCAGCTGGGGACGGCTCGGTCTCAGAGGAGATAACTCCCCGCTGAGCTGAACGCTGAGCCCAGACGGATCCAAACAATCACCTGTCGCCCAAATCTGTCTCCCAACCCTCCCTCAGCACAAACAGCGGTTTGAGTATTCTGTCCACACCTGATCTTTGTGTCCGTGTTAACAGATGAACTGAATGCAGCTCGTGTTTTGTGATATAAACCAACAGACAAACATGTTTTTGGCTCCTGAAGGATCAACGATATTTGATTAAGAGGGTCTGTAAACTCAGACTGTAGAAGAAGAAACGAAAATCACTGAAAAGAACCGTTTTTGTCTTCTTTTATTTATTAGTGACAACGAAGGAAAAGGAACAACTATATAGTTTCATTTTATTATATTGTGTGTGTGTGTGTGTATGTGTGTGTATATATATATATATATATATATATATATATATTCAAATTTCAGAGTGTGTTTTTCGCCTGTTCATTAATTTCCCTGTTTCTATT